CGACATCCCCCGCATGCTGCACCAGCAGCAGAAAGGAGTCTCCGTCCCCGCGCACCTCGGCATCTCCAAGGAGGGGCAGAACCTCCTCAAGATGCTCCTGGAACCAGACATGATGCTGAGGCCCTCCATCGAGGGGGTCAGGAGGCACCCCTGGCTGACTAACCCCTGAGGAGGACTCACCCTCATCTCCCTAAATGGAAGAGTGTTTCTAATACTAGGATAAATTCGGAGGTCAGTGTTGCCCGTCTCTCCAGCTTCGCAGGTGACGTGCCAGGCGTCTGGCTCCTTCATGCTTGGGCAGTTGATGGGTTCAAGCCAAGCTCTCTACGGTGGGGAACAAGGTGGGAGGAAAGGGAGGTTTAAAGCAGGGACCCACAGAGCCTCCTGGGGCAGCTGTCCCCATCCCATCCCCATCCCGTTCCCACCCCACTGGCAAAGGAAACTCCCGACACGGGCAGAGACTCTGTAGAATTCCTTTAATTGCTGTTAACTGCAAAAGGTTTGGAGAAAGTCATCGTTACAAAACTACCAGCTGTTAGAATTGCTCCTGGTTCTCACCCCAGCTAGAAAAGGCTCAGGGAGACGAGGGATACTTGAGAACAGAGAATATTGCACAGACAACCCAACAGTTAATTGGACTAAGAAGAGCAAACCAGAAGTGACACAGAGGAGAGCACGGCATGCTCGGAGCTCTGCTGCCGGGCAGGGATGCAGCCACCACTCACATCAAACCTGGGGAGCAGAGTCCTGAGCCTGCACCCCGACACCCCACTGCCGTCACCCACCTACGGCAGGTTTTCCTGCTACAGCTACATTTGGGGCCAGGCACCAGAGGCTCTGCCAGCCCCACACCACAGAGCTCAGCTCCAGCCCTCGAGGGCTCTGCAGAGCAAACATGCTCTCATGTAAGTGCCCAAAGGCATCGCTGCCACCAGTGCAACCCTTCGGGCAGCTGCGCTTGGGAATCAACCCTAAAGGGGAGGAAAAAACCCAAAACCAGCCCCAAAACTCCAACTCTTCCAAGCGTACCTGGGTTATCGGTACCCTAAACCAGCAGGAAACCCACAGCTCCAGCCAAGCAGCCCTGAAAAGGGCAGAAGGACAAAGGCAGCGTGTACAAAACCACCCCCCAAAGGGCAGGGCCAGCAGTGAGGGCTCCGTCCCTGTAGGATAACTGTGTATTAACAACATCCACTGAGGAGCATCTCGGGACGTGAGAAGGGAACTTCCTCAAAAAGAGAGGCTGTGGGTCAGAGAGAAACATTGCAAGTGGTCACAGAGGGCTTGAGTGAAGGAACCCGAGGGAGCACAGCAACGCTTGTGGCCCTGGTGGGACACGAGGGGAGCTGGAGGAGCAGACACAGACTCAGCCCACAGGTACCGCCATCCCCCAGGGCCAGGCTGGGGCTGTGCACCCCAAACTGGGCACCTCAGGGAAGGGTTCTGCTCCCAGGGCAGCCCAAATCGCTGCCTGCCCGAGGGGCTCAAGTTAAGAGCAAGCCACGAGTAGTTTGCTTGAGGAATTTAACGAGAAGGACACAAATCCCAGTAGAGGAAGGCAGTGCAGGGGGAAGCAGCAAGGCCTTGGCTCTTTGAGGAGCTGCTGCTCCTACACCAGGAAACGGGGAGTCCCCATTAGAAAAAGCTTCCAAGACAAAAAGCCAGGCAGAAGCTGAGGGTTTGGCAGGGAGTTTGGCTCCTTCCAGCATGGCCCAGCTCCAGGTCAAAGCCACAAACCCTCTGCCTCTCTTCACAGCAACGAGTGGCAGCAGAAGGGGCTGAGACTGCAGCACCTCCAGCGCCCGTGCAGGGAATGTTCTCCAGGGCTGGTCTGGGGCAGCACAGAGCACGAGGGAGCAGGCACAGCTTGTATCCAAGAGCCTTTGAGCTGCTGGGCTGCAGATGACGTGCACACACACACAAGCAAGCACCCTGCCAGGCACCCGAGCACCCGGAACCCCTCACTGCATCACCTCTGCCCCTAGCTGGGGCAGTCAGTTTGGCTTGGCCACTCTCTAGGACCTAACTGAGAAGAGGGGCTCCCTAGCAGCTAAGTGTATGAGTGAGCTCTTGCTTCCTCCTCCTCCTCCTCTTCCAGGTCTGAAGGGGTCACTTGAGTTGCCCACAGGATTTAGCAGGAA